CGACCGCAGAGGCTGGGTAGGGCAGGGAGACGAGGAAGACTGTCAGAAGCCTGACGAAGATAGTTTATGGGGACCTAGAGGAAGACATTTCATGAGACCTGAGGGAAGAATGTTGATGGAGACCTGAAGGAAGACAGTTCATGAATGCCTGATATGCCTCCTATTGTTCTTGTGGTATGCCATCCTCAGAGACGTGGACTGGAGCCCACTAAAGCACCTACACATGCTGATTTAAAGGACGCCTGAAAGGCGCACGCTAACGGAGAGCACACAGACCACCAGGGTAACACATCATTTACCGACGTGCCGTAATGGAGCAGACTAGCACATCATCTATCATTTCAGGGGTATGCATTTTAGCAGCAAGGCTAGGCGCAGACTTCTTAGTTCTTAGAATGTTAGTTCTTAGAATGGCTTATTGCTCGTAATTCTCGTCCGAGCTGAAAGCATAAACGTCATCATGAAATCTGGTCTAAACAACACCATTTAGGTAATGCACGTTTGTAAATGGCTTTATATTTGTTGTGATGCATACTGATGCTCACATGCAAATTTACCTCCACATTGGTGGTGGGTGCGGGTTATTAAATACTTTTAGCGTCGTCTGTGTTTCCGATGTCCCTCCTTGTTTCGGGCAGTACCGTGTATTGGATACGAGGACGTTTTTTCCGACGAGGAACCTGAATTTCCGCGATGTTCGTGAGGTTTAGGCACTGCCCGTGGTTTCAGTGTGACGTGTTTAAAGATTCAGAGCACTTCCTAAATTCACGTCTGGTTATCGAAGTGATTTTTTTGGCTAAGCCTTGCTCAACCTTTTTACTCAATTGTAACATAGATTGAAACGTTTAGTACTGCCAGTGCAACCAATGTTAGATCTATAATGCTACCTACTAGTATATGGAAGTTAAGTAACTCAGCATACCAACTCAAACCCATAGTGCCGAAAAAACACTAGGTAAAGACATTTGTTGCTTGTAAGCACAGTGTTTACCTTATTTGCTGACAAATCAGCAATTGAAGGCTTGCTGTTTATATGTCACCCATGCTAACAATATATCGTGCACATTCTTGTGCCAATGTCAATCTTGGTAATGTCCTGGAGCACAATTTTCAGTGGTTAGAGTCACCAGAGACCCATACTGTCTGTCCAGCTCCAAAGGAAACGCCAACATTTCGGTTCCTGCATCAGGTTTCAGGTTTTAGCAACAGGCGTCAGACCTAGGCGTTAACTGCGCCTTTGATAGACGATAACGACTGATGCCGAAAATGCAATTGGAGGAACGGATTACCTTTTAGCTCACTAGCGGCCTGTGCATCACCAGAGACGTGACACGCGCTGGTGGAGGCGTAGTGTTTATTTACACTTAACCCACACAGCTCGTACCGTTCCCTGGTCTTCCGTTACGCACGTGAGGCATCTACAGATTAATCATCAAATAAAGATTGCCCAAGGGAGATTGCTGGCGAAACAGACGTGCCTGCCTGTCGCTTTTGTCATGTGTTCCATGCAAAATGGGATGGGAACGGCATTGCCACAAAATGGTGCTTCAGCCACGTGTGGCTCACGAATGAATTCCATTTTTCGCGCATGATCCACTTCCACCGACTTTACCGGTGTTTCACCCATATAAATTGGTAAGCATCTAGATGCACGCGACAACCTATGGATTCTCGTGGGTAGCTTTGAACCGCGCGTATGACGATGGCACTACATGATATATGGTGGTCAGCTTGACACATGTGGTTACGCGCCAGCATGGTCGCCAAGGTGACCGTTTGGAGCCGGTACCAATGGTGTGTGCACACCTTGTGTGTGCGCGTAGGGCCCTGTTGTTTTTTCACATGGGGAAAGTTGTAGCGCCATGGTGCCATTGGCGCCGTCTCCGTCGTCGAAGGCGATTTCCATCTTCATGCGCCACTGTAGGGCTTACTGGGCGATGCTGACGAATTCGGAATGTGTACTGAACTGAAACTTCCTGGGGATAGACGTTGTTGCTCAGAGCCAGCTTAATACTATGGTGTCAATATGAGACTGTTGTTCAACTCCTGGCGGACCCATTGCTACAACAGCGCATTGCGCAGATGAGTCCACCCATTTTCTAATTGACTTCCCCCGTTTCAGCGTGAGTGCATCTCCATCCATGTGGGCCAGGCGGGCGTCCAGATGGGCAACGCCTGCTGGGAGCTGTACTGTCTGGAGCACGGCATCCAGCCGGACGGCCAGATGCCCTCCGACAAGACGGTCGGCGGCGGCGACGACAGCTTCAACACGTTCTTCGCCGAGACTGGCTCCGGCAAGCACGTGCCGCGCGCCGTGTTCGTCGACCTCGAGCCGTCCGTCATCGGTACGTGAAGGCCGCCAGGCGTCTACGAACGCTGCGTCGTGTTTAACCAGTGCTTCAGCGTGTTTCTTGTCACAGTGACGTAAGTTGTGTGATTCACCGACTTATGAGTGTGCGTCTGTCGTGAATGTGCACATTTTTAGCCAAACGCACAACAGCAACACAACAAACGGTTGCGCGGCTCTCCGTGATATTGGCGCGGACAACTGGTTCGTACTCGTGGAAGGCGAGTACGTACGCGAGTATTCCCTGCCGATCCGTGAGATAAAGTCGCGTATTGACATATTGTAGAGGTACACTTTTTGCATGCGTGAGTAACAAGTATTGTGCAAATGCCACGCCGTTAAGAAGATATTTTAGCTCGACCAGTGGCAAAGTGAGGTTTGCCATTCCGCGAAGCTTCAGACACACGGATGGGTAACGGAATTGATAAAGAAAAAAAAAACAACGTGACGAAAAGCTTACCGTGGAGGATAGTTCGATTGGTCTATGAGTACTGACGGGTTTTCATTTCGTCTTAATGACGGACTCAGCAGTAAGTGCTATAGGACGGGAGGCTATATTCCTCGCCAACCTGGCAGGAGCGGTATCGGAATTCGAGGAAATCGCGCGGCTGGTGTGAACACCCCTGGTTTTCCAGACATGCGGTGAAGTAACTGTGCTTCCGGCACCATCAGTGATGGATAGCTCGTGGATGTTAGCTGGTGTTCATTTTGTATTGCTCGTGAGTATTACCCGCCTCCGGCACACGCTTGAAAGAAACCGGCATCGGACTCGGTATACGACTCGGTATACGGTACCGGTATGCGGCTCTTTATGTCGTAGGTCGTGACTAGTCGAGCTTTGCCTCACGAGTGGCGACACCGCCGGGACCAACGGCGTCGCCTCCTTGCGCAGCGAAGCGAGCGGAACCGCTTGTGAAATCAAATGGATGTGTGATGGTGTAAAATGCATCTCGTGAGTGAAGTAAAATAAGGTAAAGTAAAGTAAATAAATAGTAACTAATAAAAAGTAAATAAATAAAGTAAAATAAAGTACAAATGCATCTCATAGATCTCGATGAGTTAGGCAAGTGCATGATGGCACGTGGACCAACTAGGGGTTATGCATATATATGCGGCACGTGGAAGGAAGTCGGAGAGCTGGCACACTTCACCGTGTATAGATATTGTGAGACCTGTTTGGGCAGGTGCTGGGCGTCTGCGCTGCGTATGGTGGCCTTTCTAGCAAGGCGACCGTTTCTCCCAGACGAGGTGCGCAACGGGCGCCTACCGTCAGCTGTTCCACCCGGAGCAGATGATCACCGGGCAAGGAGGACGCGGCCAACAACTACGCTACGGCGGCCCACTACAAAACGGTCGGCAAGGAGGTGGTGGACCTGGTGCATGGACCGCATCCGCAAGCTGGCCGACCAGTGCACCGGTGATCCTGTACCTCCGACTGGCCACGACACGGGCTGGCGAGGGACAGCGGCGCTATTGCAGGCCACAGTCGCTCTGGCCGGCCACAGCACGAGC